TAGACCTACGTCAGCATCAATTAAAGCAGCAGTCAAGTTGCGCTTCTGTACATTCCTCAGTTTGCTTGCTGTTTCAGTTGCTTTAATATTTGAGCTTTGTAAAGCTTTTGCGACGTTTAACCGTATTTCAGAAGGAAGACGTTTCCGATTTATCCGCCATCGATCCAAAACACGCGTTGCTTGTTACACTGATACAACCACAATTTTTTTGATTCTAGGGCTGCATCCTCTATAGTTTGATGAGAGAGGTATCCTGGTGAGCGATAGCGCTATAATATTATCCAAAGAAAGTGTTTCACGAATGAACCGCCACTGTTCTAAATCGTGCTTTTCGGTCTCTTGAACATCTTTAGAAGGATGTTCTGGTACGTCCTGTATGAAGATTGTGTTTAGGCTGTCTTGCTTGCTGTGTCCCTCTTCGGTGTATCATTTTGGTTTTCGCGCGCTCCTAGGGACATCAGGATAGATGCGTATCTCACAGGATCCGTGTTTTAGCGTGCTTGCGGATAGCAAAACGTTTTGTACGTCGGTGGAGGATTCTAGTGTTACTCAAATATGTCTGGGTTCTCCATAGTATGGTGAGTTCGGATGACGAGTAATTCTTAATAGGTTTATAGACTTGGCTTTGACACTCATCTGCACGCACAATGAGTTCCATTGGTCTTGGTCGTCCGATAACTTATCCCGCAAGGTGACGGCGGTAGATTCAGGGACAGTTGAGCATACAACAGTCCGAGCACTATTCTTGGTACCCTTTTACGTTGATCTACAAGGTATGGTACTCTTTTGTCCTGACCTGCTGACAAGTGCTGATTGTTTACTGTTTGTCCCTCTGTTAGCGTTAACCGTGTTTACAGCAGAAGCGACCGCAACGGCGGCCGCCCGGTGGACCTTTGCAGCAATCTCTGCATATGTAACTGATGTTCCGGGGGCTTCATCTCGACAAGAAACATTTGAGCAACAGGTACTGAGGGTTAGTGTTCGGCTGCTTCATCCCTGTTAATGCTAGATGTCAGGTCTAGTGGAATTTGCTTAACCAGACGTTTCGAGTGGTGCCTGATTTTCGTTGGCGTGAGTACTGTTTGACTCTCATAGGTACAGTCTATTTTCGCCCGGCGTTCTACTAAATTTGGAGAAGACAATGGAGATGGGGACGTGGCTGATTGCGGTTCAGGAGAAGCGGGTTGTGCAACATTCCGTTGCTTAGAGGCCGCTATGCTTTCGTGGTGCATACTCGCTTCCATTGAAGTAATCTTAACGTTTATCCTCTGCTCGGCTTCTACGGTTAACCGGTCGCACTTCTGAGCTAGGATAAGCAAGCACTTGACGTGTGGGATGATGGAGCACGGAGTACAGAACCAACTTGCATCTTGGGAGCTATTTCGCTCTCGTACCTGTTGTTGGGACACATTTGCACATTTCAAACGATGCTATACCAAACCGTGTGAGCAACCCAGACCTATTGTAACAAATCGACAGCATTATCCTAATCCGCAAATGCCTTTCGCTTGGACCGTTTTCGGATTCGCGTTTCTGTCCTTCATCTAGGTGTCGTTAAGTGAAACAGTGGGTTGTTTGGCGTTCTGTACTTTTCCAGCTTTGAGAGCAGCGCACATCGGACAGGCGAGCGTGGTGGTTGCAAGGTCAAATGAGTGGTAGGCGTGATCGCACGGTCCGTGTGATGGGTTATGCAGGCGCACTGGCTGACAAGGCCACAAGAAGGGCGAGTGCTTGGAACTTGCTAACTGAATCTGAACAAAGCGCCAAACACAGATTGAGAGATCACAAACGGTTTCACAGCTGTGTTAAAAACGCCGGATCCGAATAGGCTTGGGCCTTTCGGACTGCCTCGAGAATTCTGTATCGAATGGTGTCACACAGAAAGGCAACCGACTCAATGTGATTGAGTTATCCGCTTACGCTTAAGCACGAATGCCAGTGAAAACGTTTAGTGATGGCAGGGACTTTAATCGTAGAAGATCTTTCCACGTATGATGGATCACTGTGTAGCGCTAGTAAATCCGGTTCGAACGAGCGTACAGTGACAACGTTGCGAAAAGATGGAGAGAGGATAAGGAGGAATAATCTAAATGACCCAGGAGCACCCACCTCACGTGTGCGTGTGTGGCCCGAGAGTGCAGCTGAGCTAAACTAACTTACACTTAAACCAGGTCTTTTTAACTGGGACAAAAGTCATTCCAGTTTATTTGATTTGTTCAATTCTGTAATTCTGCTGCATATTCGGTGTCAATTTCTCGTGTTTGCCCTCCATTAAATACTATTGATTGTTTGATATCCCCGACGTGGATGCCCTTGATATGAATGTTGGCAAGGTGCCTACCTATCTAACACCCTCCACCTCGATTACTGGCTCCAGGAGACTATGAATCGTTGCTGGTGGGGACAGGGTGCACGCTCTTCGTGGCCGTGCTAGGCTCAAAGAGTGGTTCCATGCACTCCGTGTGACGCGGACTTCGGTTCAACCATCTCCTTGTGTGCGCTTGATCCCCCAAATACAGCGTGCTTGTGTTTACCTGTGAAGGAGTGTGGGCCGGCTCGGTTGATGAAACGTGGCTCCCATCCACATGTATCCCGGTCTTATTCCTTCGGGTTTACACTGGATATGGGGTGTGTGGTTGGAGCTCTGGGTGGTGCACCACAAGCCACCTATGGTTCCTGCCTAGGCGCAGACGCCCTTTGGCTGTCGTGTGGAGGCAACAGTGACAAGCGAATCCGGAACCGGATGCCGCCAACAATATCTACTAAAGCACAGTGCTTGGTAGGTGCGCTGCGTTCGCTTCCATTCGATTTACTAACCCAGCCCAATTAGGTAACTGAGGTTGTTTGTGTTTTGCATCGTCGTTTCAGTTGGTTTATATGTGTGCTCGTGTGTAGTGATTCTTGCATCTCAGGGATTGATTGTTGATTGATATCCCCGGTCTTGCTGCGCTTGATGCGTATGTTGACAAGGTGCCTACCTGTATAACACTTCCTAGGAGACGGCTAAGCATTGCTGAGCGGGTTGGGGTGCACAGTCTTCGTGGCCGTGCAATGCTCTAAGTGGGGTTCCATCCAGTATGGAACGGACTACGGCCCATCCACCGCCTTGTCTAAATCTGGTACGCATGCTTCCCTACATAGATAGACAGGAATGCTGCTGCTGTGTTTGTTGAAATAGTATTGACCGACTCCGTTGGTGAACCGTGGATCCCATCCACATGCCTCCCGGTCTTACTCCTTCGGGTTTACACTGGATATGGAGTGTGGATGGTGCAGCGCATGCCACCCATCGTTCCGCTGCAGGCGCAGACGTCCTGCGGCTATCCTATGGGGGCCAACGTGCCCGGCAAATCGGGAACCGGATTCCGCTGACCATATCAACTGAAAATAACGCACGCCAACCTCCATATCTAGTTCAAATAAATAAATGTTTATTTCCCGGCAGTTCGAGGCACGCCTGCAACTGTATTATCATTCATCCATTCATTATATAAGCCAACTGCAGTTGGAAACACCACAGCTATAGTGCCGGAAAAGAAAAAGTGAAACAGAGACACGCCGGCTGAGTCACCAGTACTGGATGGAGATGGTTCCAGAGAGTTAACAGCGGGCTATTTTGCCGCAGTAAGTCATATTATGCCTATTAATTGAGCTCGTGATCATGATCATAGAAACACCTATGGTCGGCAATTGTGCGATTTCATAAACTTTACTGATTCTCCCCAGCAGCTGGCAAGCCAAATAGTCCAACCACCAAGTAGAAAAATGTGCCAGACGGCCATTGGCTTGTCTGTGTCGCGCATTCCCTCGGTGCTCTGAAAGGAACCGAACTCATGACTGCTAGTAGCTTGCGCCAGATAGCCAGCAGCTTATGCCATTGAGCTACGGAGGACCGTGCAGATCGTCATAACCTGCATGCCAACTGGGATAAAACGCAATCAACCCACCGCAACCCTCAACTACTATGGGTACAAAGCTACTGCGTAGTGGAAGTTGTGACCCCTGGAGGCCAATCACTATCCTCTGCAATTGTATGAACCTGCATGGCAGTGGTGGATATGTCGAGCTATATCCCAGTTAGCTTGTAAGTTATGACGGTCTGCAATCGTTCCCCATGTCTCAGTGGCATCAGCTGCTGACGAGTTGGCGCAAGCTGCCAGTAATCATGGGTTCGGTTCCCTGAAGGTGACAGAGCGAATGCGCGCCACTGACGAGCCAAAATTTGGCGAAACGGTCAGCTAGAGCTCCTCCTTATTGATATTTGGCTTATTTGGCTCATGAGCTACTCAGAAACAATTTAGTGAAATTTCCTCAGAAATCCTCCGATTCCATAATTGTTCGAATGAACTCCTGCTGGTGATGTTGGACTTCAGTAATCCAAATACCCACTTTCATCCACAAGGAATAAAATTACAAGCAGGTGTTGCGTGGAGCGTTGATTTCCAATAAACTCCCGTTAATTCAAATTAAGTTACATGCAGTGGTTGTCTTTCCGGTCAGTTGGCCAGTCGCTGTCTCATTCAGCTGGTGAATCGATATCTCAACATAGGCACAAAAGGAACAATTAAAGTAAAACTCATAATAGTGCGAACCAAAGGATACATAACAGACCAAGATTAAGTGAGGAGGCCAGTTGACAACAGTAGCCGTGAGAGTCGTACTTCTCGTTTTGTAAGAATACTTCGGGCTTAAACTGTGGTATTTAGCTGCCATAAAGCCCAACGGATGTTTTCGGAATAGTCTCGTAAAGCTTCGAGAATTAGGTAAATGAAGTTGAATTGATTTTCACAGTCAGCGTGGTCGTAATGAAGGAAGCATAGTATGACAGAGTTATGCGAAGGTCTCGCTTCGCCCTGGTCTGTTAAAACGTCGTCAGCTATCTTTGCTTCCTTGTAACTGTAAATTCTAGCTAGATCAGTACTGGATAACGACCACATCTTCCTTGTTTGTTCAAGATAAAGTTCGCCTTAATGCCTGCATCTTTATTACCTCCATTTTAGTTATACACCGTGACCATACTCGACGAGCCAAGGTGGTTGGCCAGCGGACACCAGAGTCAATAAATCACCGTCCCAGCTCGCATCAGTTTCATCGCAGCACTAGAACTGCTACGAATGTCAAACCACCTCTGAGAAGTCATCGAGGGCGACCTCGGTCGCCTCCTTCAGCGAAGTCTGGTTCTGCGGTTATAAACCAAGGACGTCTTGGAGATACAAAAATAACCGTAACCCCGTCAAATAGGTCGGCATTTACACTTCCAAACTCATTTATTTTCGGTAGCAAAAGCGCGGATCCAACGGACATCCCCACCACAAAATATGAACCTACTGCTACCGGAGATACAAATGACGCATCCTGCAAGCTTAGCATGCGGGAATCGATCCTACGCATGCTATCCTTACACAAACTGAGTTCGCAGGAAGGCTCCTGTTGACCTGATCGTACAAAACTAGCAATGTCCGATAATCTCATTACTTTCGTACTACTTATTTAATTTGTCAGTAATTTATTATTTTCGCCCTTTGAACAGTGGCTTTTGGAGATCATAACCCCAAGTGCGAATCGACAGTTTCATCGAACTGTCAATTCTCAAGGCGTACTAAAGGGCCACATGTTTAGACATAAATTCTCAAAAGAAAAATTCATGTCTAAGGTAGACAGAGCAAAATATTCTATGTACTTAACGGCGTGTCGCAACAATTGTGCGCTCAGCCGGATGACGTACAAAGCAAGCTTTGGTTGCAAATCCTGCCGTCAGATAATCAAGAAGTTTAGTTAGCTACGTCGCTTTCCCTGTAGTCTGGATTTCACGTGGTCTTTCGTTGGCAACACCGAATTCCGTAGCGATGTGCAGGCTAGTACCGTCTTATTCCGGACAAGCCGTAAGTGATCACACGATTGCCATTCTGCGGTTTCCTGAATGAATAGCGACCGTTTGAGTAAGCGATAAACCTTTATGGTGATGACCCTGTTATAACGATGGATTCGTACTTGTCATTTAAGTCATTTTATGATCAATACTGCATTAATTATTATTAATTACTAGCTACACAAGTTGTGATACTTGCGTGAGTGTGGGATAGACCGTGTTCAAAGAGTATCAGTCCAACGTTCGAAGCAACCTCGTTTGCAACGGTATGGGTTTCATTACCCACGCTGATGTCAAAGTGACGAATTTGTACTGCTTGTTAGATGTGCGTGCACGAAGCAGCAGGGTTACTGGAATGGTGTTAGCACCAAACTGTTCGAAAATGTCTCTGGATGCAGCTGCTGACAAAGTGAGCGCTCCCAAGACAAGAAAGACTGTGTGCCCTTGCCGTCCTGATAATTTGTACGTCCCTGAAGCACATACGGTTAGTCTGATGGAAGAAGGCCGATTAGCGTCCATTTACCTACCGTGGGTCCTTTATGGTGAACGCCAGTCATGTACGGTTGTTGTCCCCAACATCCAATAGCCATCCAATGTTTAGCAAAATTCGCAACATGCTACTTCGCGTCCAGAGACATGAATTTTTCTCTCACCTTAATGGTGCGGACGTATGGAATTCTCGGCAAACGAGTGATTTAGTGCAGGGCTCAGCTGAGGAAAAGCCTAACCTCTAAAGACACACGGACATGAGGCTGTTGATCCGCGAGCGAGCCACAACGTGTTTCCAGCTGTCAGCCAACTTCGCGCTGAGTGCTGAAGGTCATGGCCAACCGTAGACGTTGGAGCGATCGATGCTTATCGCTGTGTGTCTCGCTGGCTACGCAACGGTCCGCCTAAGCAAACAAAACTGCCACGTGAATGTGCGCACGTGATGGCAGCTCAGCTGAGGACTAGGCATTGCAACTTGTCAATATTGTTGAATCACAGGTAATGGAGCACCAGCAGACAATGCAGTCGAGAGCACGTAACGTTCTTGTTACTCAGCGCGCGCTGATTATTCGGCTTAAAGGTGAATGCGGTTTAAACGCCGCATCAGCTTCAAGAAAATACAATGCAATGAACGCAGGAACGCGTCCCGTCACCGCCCGATATGTGCTTAAACTAGTGAAGAAGTTCGAGCAAACTGGGAGTGTGTGTAACATGAAGAGAACTGGACCGCCTCGCACCACCACGGACAACTGTTCAGCTTGCGCTGTAGTCAGTGAGGTGTCAAAAAGTCCCGATCTCAGCATCCGTCGGATCGCACAACACTGTGACACGACCCGATATGCAGTACACCGGATATTACTGGAACGAAAATTTCAGAGATTCCGCGCACTTCAAGTGCTGGTTTTGAACCCATGCGATCCGGAGAAGCGGCATGAATTTTGCCGTTGGTTTCTGGATCACGGTAATATTCGTTCGGTTATCTGTATAAATGAGGCATTGTTTCATCTGCATGGAACAACGAAACATTACTGTTGGGCTACCAGCAACCCACGAAAATTTACCGCATCAGGTATGCACCACAGTGTGAAACTGATGGTTTGGGCCGGATTAACAAGCCAGAAAATCGTTGGCCCATATTTCTTTTCCGGGAATGTGACCGGTAGGTTGTTGTTTTGAAGTACTAAAGCCTTATCTTTTCCCAGCATCGTCGTATTTGGAAATGTTGCAGACATTTGTGCTTCCCCAGTTGGAGGCCGAAGGGGCATGCAGTACTAGTTGGTGGCAGCAGGATGGTGCACCCGCACATTTTGCTAAAACGGTGCGTGCTTACCGACAAATTTGGCCACCATTGGATCGGACGCGGTGGACCAATGGAGTGGCCTGCTCGCTCACCAGACTTGAACCCCCTGGACTTTTTTCTATGGGGCTATCTGATGCGGCGAGTGTACAAAACAAGGCCAAGTACATTGGACCAGTTGAAAGAAAATATTGTGAACGAATGTCGCGCGATCACGAGGGATACATTGGAGAAAGTGCTCGCCAATTGCCTCAAGCGGTTTCTGCACTGCAAGCAGAATGCCGGCGGACATTTTGAACATATCCTTCACCAGCATAGATGATCGTTCCAATACATTTCTGTTAACATACTTATCCTCTTTCCAATACATCAGACGGACTTCTCTGAAAGAATCAGGCAAGTTGATGTGCTAGGTGAATGTCTGCTGCCTGCAGTGTTTTAGGGTGAATGTTTTGCACACCAGGAAAGCTGTGTGTACGCAAGGTTGGTAGCTTTTTCAGAACCATTTTTGATATGAATTTGATGCTGGATAACACTCATGGTGTGGGGGCAGAAGCAAGCAAAACGTTTGAGGCTAGTAACCCTTCGAAAGTAGGCCAGTACTTGGCAATGAGGCGTGGTCCGCCTTTTTTATTGTGTGTGTATACCCACCAATCGTACTGAGTGGTGCGATCGCACGCTGCAACTTTTGAAGTGCATTCACGTGTCTGTAAATAAGACTGTGGTTCGAAGAGAATTGTTTCGCTAGCTCTAATCGGTGTGATAACTTGTTTTCACGAAACAACTGTACATACTAATTGCTCAAAACTACGCACGCTGTCTCATTCTCCGCAACAGGATTGCTTACGTGAAAGCGTCATATGTTCCACCCAGACCATAAATCTTCAAGTTTGACTTCTCATGAATAATGTTGGTTTCATGTTTTGGTGGAAGAATTTTGCTTCCGTGACTGGTGACGTGGTTTTCACCCATTGCTCCCAGACTATCTCTAGGATGCACTCAGTCAAGTTTGTCCAACTAGCATTTTAAAAACCCCGAGCAAAGAGCTACAATCACAGAATTGTACGGTTTGATTTCATTTGCTAAGACGAATTGTACCCCGATGCAGAACCGGAAAAAATACAATGTATTTCTCGTTATCTGGTTCTGTCCGTATTCGGAGCAAAATTCTTCCACCAAAACATGAAACCAACATTATTCATGAGAAGTCAAACTTGAAGATTTATGGTCTGGGTGGAACATATGACGCTTTCACGTAAGCAATCCTGTTGCGGAGAATGAGACAGCGTACGTAGTTTTGAGCAATTAGTATGTACAGTTGTTTCGTGAAAACAAGTTATCACACCGATTAGAGCTAGCGAAACAATTCTCTTCGAACCACAGCCTTCCTTCAGTTTCGATAACGTTAACCGAAATTTACAAACTGTTCTCATTGGAACAAGACCAAAATACTTACGCCCAGGGCAGCCTATGGTTGGCCTATAATTGTTCATGAACACAAAATACCCGTTTGATGCGGTTTATCATGATAATCACAGCGGAACCTCGAAGGCGATAAGCGGTGTGCCGTAGTAGAACTTTAGATGTCGTGTTGACCTCAATCCGATGACCTGAGGTCAATAGGGGCCTACGGATCGATGATGCTGGAAGCCTGCGTGAACACAGTGTTTGTTGTGCAGTCTCGAGTTGAACCCTAATGGCATGTGATACTTCATTTGAGAACTCGAGATGCTATCGGTTCAGTCTACGTAAATAGCTCTGCAGAAACCTCTAGCCATTCATTTAACCTACTTCTAATAGTCATCCCAAGGGTCGTGAAGTCATCGCAGATTAACTTTAAGCAACTGTGCGTTTGGTGGCAAACGATAAGTAACAAAATAAACTATCCGGTATGATCACGCTTTCTCAGCTTCCCATCATCTTGATACGTGTTATTGCTGTGGCATAAAGTCTATTCCCTGTATACCAATCACTATAACTCATAAAGCAGCCTACGCTCAACGGCTACTGCACTTCGTCACAGCGTTTCCACTAGCACCGTTGGTGCAGTTAAACAAACCCAGCCTAATATATTCCCAGGTCAGTTGCCATCTAGAGGTGTCTATAAAGGGTAGTTGACGGATGTATTGATAGGTGCCACACATCTAACTTCACTGTGTGATAGATCAGGGGATTAATTTTCAATAGAACTTCATGTAAGATATGTAGGCGGTAAATTTGATAAACATTCTCACTGTCAGAGACCAGATAGTGATGCCAGTTTGTCTGCGCATCTTAGTTTGGTTCCCATCAACTGGGAACACTTGTTACGCCTTGCCATTAAGCAATTATGCCGGTGACTTCTTGCGTTGCGATATAATGCCCCTGAATGTAAAATTTCTTCTCTTCTGCTTCTTCCCAAAATCAATGTTCTACAAAACGGACTCTTTTCTGCCCACTGAACAAGGTCCGCATACTGGGTCGTTGCGTTGGCCTACTTGACCATGACAGTAACCTGTAGAACTGGATCCCATTATAGGAAACCATTCGATAGTCAATGCTCCCCGTTGGGAAATACCCATATAATTTACACTTCCCATCAATTCAACCAACCCCTAACAATTCCCACAATCACCCATAACTCAACCAAATACATTATCCCATATAAAAAATAAAACCTATTACACCACCTTACCCCAATACCTACAATCCCCCCTCTATCCAACTATCTTCACCACACACTCACTTACAACAACACCCAACCCATCCCAACCACCCCCCCATACAACCCCCAACAATCACAACCACATCCACCCCAATCACCCCCACCCCCCCCCCCCCCCCCCACCAAACCCCCCCCCCCCCCACACTCTCCCCAACCCACCCCCCCCCCCCCCCAACCCCCCCCCCCCCCCCCCCCCCACCCCAACCCCCCCCCCCCCAACCCCACCACCCCCCCCCCCCCCCCCCCCCCACCACCCCCCCCCTCCCCCCCCCCCCCCCCCCCCCCCCCCCCCCCCCCCCCCCCCCCCCCCCCCCCCCCCCCCCCCCCCCCCCCCCCCCCCCCCCCCCCCCCCCCCCCCCCTTGTCTCTATTTTCGTCGTGAATGTGCAGCACAGTATACAATTTCTAGCAGCGCTACCGAAACGCACATGATAGAGCGTCCTGTCATGTTGCGATTTCGACGAGGCGAATGACGAGTAAATTTTAACTGGTGATGGTTCAGACTTTTCGTTTGAATTAGCCTATTTCGTCCATAAGTTGAAGACAGGTTGGTTGGACTGTTGTTTAACGAGGTTGTATTCTGTACCCAGCGAGGCAAGTCAGTTGGTCATTTAACACTCCAGTATATTGTCTGAAATATCAGCTACTTCTACTACAGATTGAGGCTTGGAGAAGGGTATAAGATGGCTTGTATGCTTTCAAGCAAACAATGCAGTGGTGAAGCAGTTTGCCCAATACTCAACCCACTTCAAAGATGGTGCATCTTCACTAGGAGTGTGTACGGTTTCGTGCTTCTTAGCAGCAAACTAGAGAAACTTTGCTATGGATGATACTCTACTGAAGGTGTTATGTGTTTCGTTACGGTCTCTTTCCGAACGTGATGGCGAGTCGTAGCATCCGCCATAAGAATCAGGCCACCGAGTTGGAGGATGATATACTTGAGCAGTGAAGAGAACAAATCGTTGCAGTTATCTGAATCTCATAACACGTTTAGCAACATATTCTGCCTCTAAGATTATGTAGTATATAGCAGTGTCCATCCCCTTGAATAATAGAACTACTAAAGTGACTGAATGAACAGTCTGCTCACCCTCGTTATGTTAGGAAACGAAGCTCAAAACGTAGAGACAGATTGACATTTAAGGAAAATGAACGAAGGGCCACTGAAAAGACCAGGAAAACTTAGAACGAACTCACCAAAAGCAAGCGATGTCAATTCTAAGAGGATTCACAAATCTTCGGGCAGTAGGGCACGTAAGTAACGAGACGAATGTTTATGGATTGGTGTCCCAGGGTCGAGTGTGTAGGCTACTAGTGCGACACGGATCTACGCATGCTAGGTCCCGCAGGACTGAGCTGCGTGGCGAATCCAACAGTGGCGCCATGTGGTGGTTGTTGCGCACAGATCAGACCAATAAATTTAACTTTCTTCTTCAAGCACTTAAATGCATGATAGGACGATAATTTTATTTAATATGGTGCACAAATACTCAGGCAACCTGGGAAGTATGTGAACCGCTACTAGCGCGTTCTCCCTGAGATATAATAGCCGCAGCTAGTGTCATAAGCCACCAACACTTAGGATAAAACTCATTTAGGTGAGCAAATCCCGACGCATCATGGAACTCTATTGGGACGCTAGGTTTACTCGTAGGTCCTGCAGGTAATAAGCGTTTTCCGGCGCAACTGTTTGTGCAGCTAAAAATAGCAGTCCGCAGCCTTTCCAGCCGCTCTGCAGGTGGAAAAATTTGCCACGCGATTCATTTAAACGCTTTAGAAAGAACTGAAAGCTTCTGTAACATATGGTTCACATGATCCGTTTTTCAAATAGAATACCATATTTCGGGAAAGTTCTGCAATATGTCCTCACAGAGTGCATTTACCTGGCCTCTCTTTCAAGAGATTTTCTTGATAGCACCATTGTTCTCTGCAACGAAAGTGACACTTTCTAAGCCCGAGTGGTATTTCTATCTTTTTGGTTACCAATTGAAATGTAATCGGCGTCACTGGATTGTTGGACGGGCGCCCTGGATGGCATGTTGCGGAAAGCCAACTATCTTAGATGACCTTATCATCAAAGTAAGCTGTCTCATAATTATTGAAGTAAACGACAAGACGCTAAGCATATGGTTCTCTTTCATTTCAGTAAATAGAGCGAGATGACCTTCGGTATACAACGATTTGTGGGAAACCCAACTGTTGACACAACTCGCAAAATGGCTTTACCCTTTTGATTTTCGTCGTGAAAACTGGTATGGAAAATATTAGTCTTATTCTGACGTTTGGTGCTACCGAGGAAGCTATGTTTGAAAGAAAGTGCTACTGTAGTTAAACTAAATGATAATTAAAAAAACTGAGAAGTGTCGAGAAAGCAAGAGAAAATAACATGCGGACAAGATAATCTAAATCCACGTATTTCAAATATTCTCTTTAGCTGTTCACACACTGTGAAATTATCGAGTTACTTGTGAGAGGAAATACTGTGAAAAAAGTAATTAAAAATATTACGTAAAATCAATAATCTCACTAATGTGAGGCTTGCCGTACACTCAGTCTGCTTGCACAAATGGAGCTACAGCTGCTGAACGGCTGAAACGTCGGTAATCCGAAGGAAACGACCATTGTAGTGTGGGCCAATTACTCTGAACCATTTGCGAGAACTTCGGTAGGTTGTGCAGTCTAGAATGAGCTGCGCAATGGAGCTAGCCGGCAACGCTGTACCGTTAGCTTCCATGTTTCTTGGAATGTTCTCTGAACTCCTCTTGGACAGCGTTCTCTTAATTCGGCCAGCGTACTTGGCACAGCAAGTACAGTAGAGGGCTAACGTAAGAGGCGGCAGCTTAAAGTTCTGGCTTGTCCAGATCGGATTTACAGAGGAACTTCATAACTTGGTGCAATAACACCATTTTTGGTTGCGTACTAGCATTTATTTACAATCTCGCGGAGGCTATGCCGGAATCTTCTATTGCTTTGATCCCCTTAAGTGGTAACCGGATGAACACTATTTCTTCTTGGAGACATCTGTCAAACGTTCCTAACAGTGTTTTGCTGTTGTGTACCGGACTTTGAATCGCGCGGAGTACCCGTTTTTATTTAGTCAACTGTCATCTTCAAATAAAACATTTACGAACTCTAGGGAGGGTGAAACGAACTTAGTTTATAGAACGGAAACTGTTGAAGCTGTGTTATTGTCATGCCCAAGATGGCTTGTGATACACAGAGCGAGTGAGCCTGCCATCTGGATTCCTTTTCGGGAGACAATTTTTAGTACACCAATTATGCACTGTGCTGGCCATATGAGGCAGGTAATAGAAGTAGATGTAGGCAGATAGGATGCCAATCAATCACTGTCGACGTAAACTAATCGCGCAGATTCGCTGGAACAGTTGCGAGCTTGTGGAGCGTGCGCGCTTGCGAACCCTACAAAGGTAAACTGACGCGTCCAAGCATACTTTAAGACACACGACAGAAGTGGACTGAAACTAGCAGGACGTACTGTGTTGGGAGTGTCTTATCGGAGTTGACGGATGGATCAACCGAGAAAACCAGATAACTAATGGGTGACTGACGTAACGGATTCGATTAGTGGACACGAACTGGTCGACATTCGCGTGTTGCTTTCGGTTTGTTTAACTAATCTAAAAGTGGAATCCAATCGGCCCAGAATAGTTATTTAAGGACGTAAACGAGCAACTTACCTCGAGGTGTTTGGTTTGCCAAATATGTCGTGATATTCGCTGAGTTGACTTTGCTGAATAAACACTTGTCCCTGTAGGCCAAAGTTTTCTACACGTATTGACCCATGAAAAGTTGTATCTAAGCATGCAGTTTGGTTTTCTCCTAGTAACCATGATAATGTCGGCCAGGCTAGGCCCCATGGCTGTTTTCGATCTGTTGGTAGATTGGTGCAAATAATTGAAAGTAAATGTCTTTTTTCACAAATGATTAAGGACCTAAGACAATGTGCTGAAAACCCCACTTTGTCAACATTAGTGCCGATGACGTCTGAACTCCCTTCCATTGTATCCTTCCACAGCACATTCTATTTTGGCAGGTTGCGCTGTTTATTTTCATTTTTCGGTGCTTGCTTCTCGTTGCAGTCCACTACTGCTTTGTCCGCATTAAGGCGTGCTGGGGCGGGTCAGTTCCTCATTGTCTATCTAGTCGGCTCATACCCTTCAAGCTCGCGACCGCTTCAGCGAATCCGCTTCGCCGTTACTTTCGAGAAGTCAGTGCTTTGTTTCTCCTTGGCTAAGCCAATCCAATCTTTCTATCTGAGATCAGTTTGCGTCGGTAGCTAGTGATTGGCCTCCTGTCTACCTACATCACTTTGATCATCTTCTCTCAAATCACCACCTATTAGCCCAGCGCCTGGCGGGGCCTTGGAGTTGGCCGTTGCCGATCCCCCCCCCCCAAAAAACTTCGATTTTTGCACCATCTACTGCGAACGTATGCATTTTGCAAGAATATTTTGACGAATTATTGGGTGGACAGTTTCAATTTTAGTGGGGCGTCTCAATTCCAGCGATTATCTGAAAAATTATCCGAGACACCATGCATAACTAGCCGTTTGATATTTACATCCAAATGAAACGAGCTGTCAATAAATGTTTTAACAAAAGTTGACCTTATCATCCGGATAAAGAATCTTATACTTCTTTCTACCAATATGCGTCCGTTGCTCAAAGATGCGGGACTGTGTACTCAAATGACATCTGTACACTTTTTCCATTCTGTTTTTACACTCATCAAATTATCGAATTTACTGATGCTGTTTTCTCATATTTGTAGTAAATCATATAAACTGTTGAAAATCACTTGCCCGGGTACATAAAGCTTAACTTGACTTGCTTTGACTTGATCAATTCCCGATTGAAAGCGAAATTGGTAACACCGTCTAGCTCTTATAATACATCCGGAGAAGAATCCAGGTAGCCCACTTATTCTATCTGTGTATCGCAAGCTAAATTGGACAAGGCAATATCACAAGTTTAGCAGTTTCTGTCCTACAAATTACAAGCTTCATTTTATGATGCATAATCCTTACTACATGGTCACTATGTTTGTAGGTCATACATACGTTCCAATATTGACATCACCGTTCTTCAATCAGGTTTGATTTGGCCTCACTCGTTATTAGCACCTACTGCACGGCTGACTCGCCACGCTGCATCACTTGGGGTCATTCGCTCAGCCCCAGACGCAGGTCCGCCTGCACTGTCGTTGACGCCAGGTGCTCAAGCGCTCAGTAGTAATCCTGCTCATGAGCTTCGGGATTCGTCTACCTCTCAAGTGGCTTATCATAAACCAGTCCATGCAGAATGCTTGGCCCGCGTTGTAGTTCCATGTACAGGTATCCGCTGGTTTAGCCGTCATACTGACACATATTTTCTTGTGTCGTCCCAGTAGCCTCTGGGTCGCGGGCTAGACGTCTGATACACTGGACGCATTTGGCACTAAGCAACCCTTGCTGTCAAATATTTCGTTGTTGTTTACAGATGGATTATGCCATTATGGTTGGCGGCATCCGGTTCCGGATTTGCCTGTCACTGCGACCTACACGTCGACAGCCACAGGATGTCTGCATATCTAGAGGTACCCTCGGTTGTTTGCGCCCCACCACCACAGCTCCACCCACACACCCCATAGCTAGTGCAAACCCGAAGGAATATAACCGGGAGGCATTTGAATGAATGAATTTATACGGGTTAAGAAGCGCTGTTTTACAAGTCACGTGGGATAGTTGGTGGGGCTATCGAAATAACAATAATGATAATAGTAATATTAAAACAGTTAGTAATTTAAATATGAAAATAAAGACTTACCGTTTGCTCCGCCGTAGTCCTTCAATCCACTTAGATTCACAGCACACGCAGTTAACATTAGCGACTTCCATGGTAAACTCAGGTGTGGCATGGAGACGTAGCGCTAAACGACAATGTGTAGGTGGATGAGTGCGTCATCCAACCGTCTTTTAAATACTGCTAGTGTCGATGCAGAGACAACCGATTCTAGGAGCGCATTCCACGGGTGACAGACACAGAGGAAAAAGAAATTTCTGCGGCACTCCAGGCGGCTATACTGTACATTAACGGAGCCGCCCCACACTACTTCAACATTCATATCAACAGCATTCCTGTCTATGTATATTGGGAATCATGTGTTCAAACGTACATAAACCGGTGGTTGGACCTTATCCTGTTACACACTGGATGAATGGAACCACTCTTTGAGCCTAGCACGGCCACGAGGACCGTGCACCGCGTCCCCTCCAGCAATGCTTCAAAGTCGCCTGCAGACAGCGTAATCCAGATGAAGGGTGTTAGGCAGATAGGTACCTAGTCAACATTCATATCAAATACAGTGACACCATGGACAACAAACAACCAACATAGAATTTGAGAGAACATCAACACGCAAAATTGAGACGGTATATGAAGCGGAATAAAAGTACATAGGAAATCAGATGAAGTGGAATACTTGTTATCCAGGGTAACACGATCCATACACAGCTGTCTGTATGTACATCTGTTGCTAAGCTAGTGATCTGAAATGACTGAAGAACCTAACTTTTAGATGTATCCTAGGGATCTCATACTGTCCAACAATTGTATCGAAGTGAATTTTCTGAAATTGTTTCGCATCTTCCTCCTGAAGGCGATGTTAAATTACATCGGATGATCGAGGAACTGCTTTATTTTCATGCGTGGTTTTTTTGGTGGCTATCGTGCAATAAACTTAGTTCAATGTTTAACTTAGACGGGCAACGTCAGTAAATACTTTGCATAATGTGTAGTTAACATTGTAGATGTAACGGAGGCATGAACGATCAGCTGCCCAGCGCAATGCAGCAATAACTCTAAACGAGGGCTGTGCAATCATTTTTGACAACGGTGCTCAGAGTGGCCATGAAAAACACTAGGTGTCTAAAAGTGGGTCTCGAACTCGCTGAAACCCATCAGGTTGTGTGGGATATTTCTAACAAGTTCATTTGCACAGTATGTCGGTTTCAAATGAAGTCCCGGATTCTGAAGCTCCAGTTTGCTTTGTATGCTAATTGAATAGATCTAGTATTATATTAGCAATAGAGTTGATTTGTTTAACTTTCTGTCACCAACTGCAGTACATCAGCCGTTTGAACTGCTGCTTCGCTGCTGTACAACCAGTATTACCCACGAAACGAAGAATAAGAGAAGAGAGAAGGGAGCCAGCATAATACCTCAATACTCTAGGCAAACATTCAGGACCAATACGCATACACTTATACAGCAACAAGCAGCGGCAAATAGCGGGCTGTCATGCAAAATTAAGGCGGCATCAGCGGGACAGCTTATTTGTCGCTCTTCCTGCCCCGCGTCATAATCAGCCATTACCCTACAGATAAATGAACACCAAACACACTTTAGACAGACAGTCTGACTGTGATGCGACAGCAGAGGCGCCACCAGTTCCAGCTTCGAACCATGTAACGTCTCGAGCCAAGCACAAGGCTGGTCACGTGGACTTAGCCTGGAAGGCGAGACGGACTAAGAGTACCCAGCTTTTTAGTCACTGACTTCAGCCTGGAATACTAAGAGCAGCCTAAAGCCAAGTATGCAGAACGCACTGGTTTTTGTATTGTCTTACTCGGAACGATGATGCGGCACGAATGCTGTACGAACCGCAGTGGCGGCGAAGCTGATGCGTGATACTAGAAGCATCATCTCTCAGCTGCGCTAGCATCTACCCATTCAACCTCCCATATGCTTTTTGCCATTAGCTCCCCATGAGCACGCTGATGACCTTCAAGCCTCACTTGATTGAAGAACATAAGGCCTCGTGTGCATATAATAACGACTAGCTTGTTTGTCAAAAGTGGATGTTCCTGATACACTCGCTCTTTGTCATGTATCTAGAGGACAGCGTGCCCGATTCTCCCATGAGTTCGTTCATGATTCATTAGCATTTTCTCCAAGCACCTGAAATCAATACGAGTTCGGCGAGAATCGCACATAGCCCAGAGCAATTTGTTTGGTATTCCGGACATTTCAGCTCCATGGAAATCCCGAAGCATCATAAAGATGTTGCAGCGACATGGGGTCCATTCCATGCATGTTGCTCTTGCGGAGTAATTTGGTATCAGTTAAGCTACCATGCTAAGAGATGTACAACAGTAGTCCCCTCTTTTATGAACTCATTTAGCACAGCAATTTTTTTGAGTATAGCCTAGGTTTCATCGCCGTATCAAAGCCATGACAGCGCCATAGATCAGCAAGATATATCTACTGATTCTTCCGCACTTGATATTTTCGCATGCATGCAACATCACTTGCCTTTAATTTATGTGTGTCGAAGTCACCGGTTTTCCTGGGACGTAGTAACAGCTTGCTTCCAAGATAGAGGTATGGTTGTCTTCAGAAAATAACTACATTGATGGCACCGGTTTAAAAGTCCGTTGATTGCCGTTGGAGCGCATGTGGACGTTTTGCACTTCACCTCAGCCTCGTAGATTGCACATAAAGTGTTCCAGGCAAACAGCGGCATCCGGAATTTTGTCTCATATACTAGGATTCTCTCTAACCGAAGTGATTCAGGTTCGACGAACCGCCACCCATTTAGTGCTCGATAAAGCAACCGTGTTCACATGAATTAAATGCATTGGATAGTATGATAGCTACTGAAACGCAAACAACCGTACGGGATAGTACACGACCTTGTTTCAGATCAGAAGAAACGCTAAAGCCATTCGCTGTCTCCCTATATCGTTACACCTTAAAATGGCCACTCCCACTAACCACCAAAACAACGCTATCCGCGGCGTCTTATCATTTATCGACTCCTCCATGTTCTCCCAAATGCTCAATGCGTCTGGGAGACGGCATGAAGAGTAGACGATTCAGGCCTGCCAACTAGTGTTTAAACGCGATCTGGTTGCACTGCAGACCCCACAGCAAAGGGCAGCCAAAAATGTGAAAGGATGGTTCCTCCTGTCATACCATCTGCGATTGAAATCCCTAGTAGTGCACAGCGAAAGTTATCGCCATCTACGAGGAGACCTCATACTGGCGCGAAATTGAACAATCCCGGTCACTTGCTGCTACTTCCGGAAACAGTTGTAACACAGCTTACGATGTCACCAGCTTAAACTGGCTACCCACAATCAGCTGGAATGATGCCGAAATTATTTTTCTCTTGGAATGTGTCGACCCTGGAATGCTCTTTGGACTTTTGTTATTTCTTCGCCCACGCTACCTAGCGTTAAAAACGAGTCGACTATGCATTATGCCATGTGCATTAATTGATTTGAATTTTACTCATCGAATGACGGTAAGACGCTAACAAACATTGTGCTCACTAACCCTTACAAAATCGGGGCAAACGGATATACATGAGATTTGACGTAGTTATTATGGTGAGTCTACCAATGGGCGTTTCACATTAGTGTAATTTCTCTACTTACGTAATTCAAAAAGCTACTCCACTGAATCTGTCAAATCTTGACATTTTTATCCGTATTATACCTCTGTTCCATCATATCGAAAGCCCTGGCGACAATGGTAAATGATGAGACCAGTAGTTGGTTTCACTCGGGACAGTTCTCCGCAACACAAGAGTTACGATAAACATGTTGTTTGTTTTGCAACTTAAGCCTGGGTCGCAATGTCAATCAGGCACGCCGCATCTCAGCACGTGCAAGGCGAATCGGCAAAGGAATGTTTTCCAACCACCCTTATGATGTGCCTTTGCAACCTGATGTCACAATAATTATTATCATTTCGCCCACTTCTCTTTTCTTGTATCGTGATAACACGATGAGATCTTTTAAGTGGGGAAGCGCCTACTTTTCAATTCACAATTTTTCCATGTAACTGTGGATCCCATGTGCTATTTAGCATCTGCCACCTTTTAGCGCTTTCAACAGTATCTGATAAGCAACAAGTTGTACAATTTTCCTCCGGTACTACAATATAGCCCAGTGCACCTACTTGGGCGTACACCTTATCTTGAACTGCTGTTATGCCTTACTATGAGAAATTAGTACTCAATAACAATCGTTTCGATATGCTATACCAAATGTTCTGTCCGCGCTGCTACATTTAATTTCGTCATCAGTGATGAGTGTGCATCAAAACATCACGGGAATGATTATGCTAGTGTTAATTAAGCAGTACCGCAGCACCACTTCTAATTTCAATCTCAGCACTATATAAGTGGACGTTAGGACACTGCAATAGACAACGAACTGTTAAACTTTCAAGTTTGCCTACGTTTATACCTAGCATTTGTTTTTATACACCATTACGTTGCGATTTGAAGAGTAGTTGTTATACTGTGTAAAATACGCCGAAACCGCGCATTTCGTACTGGCTTTACTGAGGTAATGGAATTATTAACTGATGTAATGGATCACCTATTCATGAGTCAATAGTTTCATTTATTTATGGGTGCTCTTATAGAAGTATAGTATGACAATACAAGTCAAACTAGCAATTACCCCAGATTTTCGGCGCATAAATGCGTCAGTATTCTGATTCAAGTTGTGGTCTGCAATTTCCGTTGTAACAATACACATGAACCGTTTGCATCCGAATAAACGCTGGGCATTTGAGTTGCTGACTCAAAGTGCTACTCCATTCGTAAAGTTTTCTCCAGAAAGTTAATATCCATTAAGTTTCCATAATGATTTTCTTACGCTTCCCATCTACACTCGTTAACGTTGCTAAAAAATTGTGCAGCTGTAACACAGGTAAATAACAGTGTCAATAAATCAATAACATGAAAATATATCGGTATTTTACACGTATGAAGATGAGCCTGAGCTTGACCTGAACTGAGGTTCGTTCAGCTGCACATCGTATTTCAGATGTAGTGCACCTGGATATAATGGAGCAGTGACGCTGGTACGGTGCATAGCACTAGGATGTTTGTACATATATATATATATATATATATATATATATATATATATATTTATGGCGAGTGAGTATATGGTGCGCTGAGGCTGGTGATGGGTAGATCCAAACGGATGGTCTACCCACTGCTGTTCATGTTGTTCCTTTGGCTCATGCCCTGGACGCCTCGTCGCGACCGCTGGGTGAGAGTTGTGTTACGCCCTTTTCCCTGCTAAGATCCAGGACACCAATCCGCATGAGTCGTTGAATTGACCATGTGCTAGACGTGCTGCTTTTCGGATGTACATTTAGTCGAGGGCTTTGGCTAAGGACCCGAGTCGTTCTCCTGTCAGGTGTGTGCGCCCTGTCAGTATCCTAGTCCATCCTCCTCGGAGGTTAGGAAGTGGTCGATGGCCCTCTTCCCGTAAAACCTAGTCATGGGAGACAACAGGTATACCAGTTGTAAGCTCCCAGCTAGATCGGCAAATAGCACGAGCAATAGGGTGGAAGGGCACCCGGGTGTTCAAAGGTTTGCTACTGCCCGCCTCAAGCTAGGCAGTCTCTGGTCAAATTGCTGCAAACCCGCCAAAAGCCACCTGAGTCTGGCCGTGGTAACAGATGCCTACCTTACTGCGGTCACAAAACATATATGAATTGTTCCAGTTTGCCAAAGGATATGTGTGACGGCTGTCAAGCAGACCCCAACATGTATCTGCAATCACATTCCCGGGATGGATATGCTAACCACTGCCTTGTGGGTCAAACTATTGAGTCAAAGACTCCGAACGGAGTCTCTCAAACAAGCCTTTGAAGCACAACCACCACCACACTTGCGATTGCCCACCAATGCATACGTATGCCTGCGCGCAAAGCACTCAGCATCGGGTGCTGGAGGTGAGAACACTACTAGACCGGAACTCGAATGAGCGCCCCGAGAGACACACTGCACTGGTCGCGATGGAACTGGCGCGCTACCACATCGATATTGCGGCGCTCAGTGAAACTCGGATAGCTGAGCAATGTAAGTTGCATAAAGCAAGTGCTGACTACATATTCTACTGGGTGGGCAACGAGGCCTCAGCACCACGTGAACATGGGGTCTGATTTGCAATATCTGATGGCTCCATGGTCATTTCGTGGGTGAACCAACCGGCATCAGCGCGCGAATGATAAGTGTTCGCCTACCACTCGGAAAAGGTAAGTTTGCCAATTTTATCAGCATGTACGCTCTGACCAAGCGTTATGCTGATGACATGCGTGATCAATTCTACAATGATCTATCCTCCGTGATACGGTCTGTTCCGATGATCGACCGACTATTTCTGCTGGGTGATTTCAATGCGCGCGTTAGGCGTCGTGCATGGTTTCGCATGGCATTAGTTCAGTCAATGAGAACGGTGACGGTCCTCTCTCAATGTGTGCCAATCACGGCCTGACGATCACGAACACTCGGATTACACTGAGTGCGCGTGGCATAACAACGTGGAGGTACCCACGGAGTGGTCATGCTCACCTGCTCGACTATGTCATCGTATGTCAGCGTGACATGCGTGAAGTGCGTGAAGTGCGCATGACACGATGAACAATGAACAATGATATATAACGGGAAAAAAGCAGGTGCTTGACATGTCCCGTAGGGTGTTTAGCGTGACAAAAAAGATGGCGAAGGGATAATGGAGTCGTCAGTTCAGGCGCTTACAGATGTAACTGCACTGTCGTATAAAGGGAGTTTGAAATGAGAATGTACGCACACAAAGCAATAGTGGAGTGGTTATTGATCACGCAATAGGCGATACAAAATAAGAAGATAGCAAGGACAACACTTACTCGTGTGCAACTATCTTGGGTCCACAGGATACAGAAATCCAGTTTCTATAGTAGTAGCGTTTAGCAAATTTCGTGCAAGGCGTTGGGAGTGACGCATTCTCGAGTAGGGTTATGGCAATATCCACTGTCTCATGTGCATTAGTGCCAGCATCTGGTGGTCATGAGCTATAGTACGTAGTGTAAATGTGACAGAGTATCGTCAAGGCGTTTTTTGAAAAAGGATAGGGTGGGTGCATTAATTACGTGTTCCGGGAGAGCGTTCCAAGGCTGTCACTCGAAGGGAGAAATAGTTTCGCCGACATTCCAGGCGGCTGTACTGCGTGACTAACTGGTGACCTCTTAGCGAGGTGTTTTG